TGTGGGAAGAACATCAACACTCGCCTCACATGCACGACTGCCAGTTCATCCATACGTCGGCAGAATCACATTTTCAACAATATTACATATATATATATATGAAAAAATAGAAAAATATATATATATAAATATCAGGTGTTGATATTAAAAACAAAGTAGACATATCCTGACCAGGAGCACATGTGCTTTACAGAAGGCAGAGCGCCATCTGATGGAACAGAAATCAACTAAACATTGATTTAGCCTGTTTCCTGATTTTTGGCCAACCCAATTTCTCGATAAACAATAAGTCATCCACGAACGCGTTTCGCGCTGTTGATTTATCAAGAAATTGGGTTGGCCAAATATATGAGGGAACAGGCTAAATCAATGTTTAGTTGATTTCTGTTCCACCAGATGGCGCTCTGCCTTCTGAAAAGTACATGTGCTCCTGGTCAGGATATGCTTACTTTGTTTTTAATATATATATATATTCAACTAAAAGTTATAGTTAAGAGTATATGCTCTAATCTCAACGCTTATCTAAAAAGCTCAATAACAAACCTTTTTTCATATTTTTTAGTGAATGAAAATAATAATGATAATAATATCTTGATAAATTCCTTACATAATGTACTACTATATGAAGTAATAATAATATGATCATAACAATTAACATTTATTCAAACACAATTATCGTTTGATAAATATTCACTACGAAAAAAAAACGGGCGAAGCCAGGTCATGTTTAAAGAGAGGCTATACCCCTATGGAAAAGGGCGCTCAAGGAAGTTCTACTCGGTAAGTTTTAAACAGATACCTTTTATAAAAGATAAGACCCTTCTTTATTTTTTAATGCGAAATCGCTATTTTTGAAAATCCATTTGGTTTTTATTGACTTTTATACCTCTATGAATAAAATATATTGTGAGAAGAAGTAAAGTGTTTCTTTCTATAAATAATGCTATCCGTATGTGTTTATTTTTTGAAAGCTTCTAAAAAATATTTTTTTATTTTAAAATAAATTGGAAAATTAAATTATAGTTTTATAGGTAGAAGCTTCTTTAATCCATTAGGGTAACTCAACTTTCTAGAAAATATATTTCAAAACATTAAGCCGTTTCTTTCAAATAAATTTGGTCAAAATCAATATTGGCTGTCTAAAAAAATCGTTTGGGTTTTTATAGGATAGGTCAAAATAAATATTTGAAAAGTAAGTTTTATAGATTTAATTGGTCATGTAAATATTTTCCATCTTAAAACACTATTTTGTTAATTACAAATTTATAAAATATATTAAATTCATTAACTAATATGCTTTTTTTTTTCTTATAGTATATATGTAACTACAAATATTTTTTTTACTTTCAGTATTTTTATTCAATATCATTAGTGACAATTTTATTTGCGCGTCCCGCCATCTACCAACAGAAACCTGAACTATTTTTAATATTAGAATATTTTTGTTTCATTTTATTCCTAAAATGCCTTCTATAAAATTATATTATATTTATTTTAACGATATTCATTTTAGTGGCTTATATATATATAAAATATAAATATAAAATATTAATATAAATATATTTGATGATATTTAAAAGAAACGCATTGTCAGTAAATTTATTTGTGTAAAATATTAACGACAGATGGCAATTAAATTTAATTTAATAAAATATAAATATATTCAATTATATAATTTAAACGACATAAATATGTATTTAAGTGATATGTGAGAGATTATAATATATGCACATATATATAATGGAATTTTATTTTTATTTACTATTTTAGAGAAAGATGTGTTTATAAAATCAAAATACAAACTTATAAAGTAAGAAGATCCATAAATTTTGTAGAGGAATTCTTATTTACCGAAGCCTCAGTGAACTACTGTCACACTTTCACTAGATAAAATGTCCTAAATTAAACCGAAGTAATGTCTTTTTATAGTCAAACATCTTAATATATCTTATATTCCGAGTGGAAAGAATAAAAAAAAAGTAATAAATTATTAAGTAAATGTTCAGATGGTCAAATGCAAATTTTACTTACAAAAAAAAAAAAAGAAGAATGAAATATCAATTATTAGCAAATATGCTTATTTTATTTTAAACAAATTAAACTATATAATATTATATTTTTGGCAAATGAGTTTATTAAAAAAAAACACATTTAGCCAACACAAAAGATAAAAAAAAACAAATCTATTTACAACAGAACAAAATAATATTTAAAAAGTTTTTTGTTTTTGGTCAAATAAAAAAAAATATTTATATATTATTAAAAATTAAATTGAATATAACATATATAGTACAAAAAACATAACATTTTATTTTTTAATCATTATTTCCGATATTTTTCAATTTTAGCAATACAAATTTACAGAGATATTTTTAATTATTATATATTTTTTTTATTTATATTCAAATTGTTCAATTTTAAACATTTTTATATCCGCCTTAATTAAGATTTAGAAATAGTGCGATTAATTTTTCTTTTATATAAAGTTAATTACTGTTTTATATGGCGTTGAATATATCCTATATTTCCGCTACAAGATACTACCCATTTTAATATTTAGTCATTTTTATAAC